AGAGGTCCCTTCCCACCTCAGCCGTCCTGTGATTCCGTCCTCCCAAACCCACTCAAACCAAAGCAGAGCCCTGTGTTGTTGTCTTAAGGGGAGATGGTTCATGGGGGAGCAGAGGCTGCAGCAACCCGTGGGACCATTTACCATCCTTACACCCCGAACCGTTTTATCGGGCGGGGGAAAGAGGGGTGGAGAAATCCTGGTTTTCCTTGTGTTTCTGCTTTTCCTTGTATTTTCTTTTCTGAAAGCTGCCATCCAGAGTGAGTTCTGCACAGCTGTCAGGAGAGGGCACCAAGACCAAGCAAACAGGGTGTCCCCATAGTTTGAAGGCTCCCAAAGAAGAAAGGCAACAGTTCCCAACGCTCCCTCAAGCTGAAGCACCTCCTGGTGCACCCCAGAGATCTCCACCTGCTTTTTGGTGCCTGGGAGACCTCTGGATCCCAGCTCCGCAGTGTGTCAGGGTGACCCCTCCTCATCTCACCTCCGCTGCGAAAGCATCCCTGGAGATGCTGCAGATCCAAGGGGTGGGAGCGCCTCCAGTGGGGCTTTCACCAGGTTCACCTTCCTCTTTCTCCAGGTGGTCACCAAGGCAACCCCTGCCCACGATGGAGAGCAGGAGACGGGGGAGCTGAGCCCTGGGGTAACAAGCTGCTGCCTCCCACCCACCTCCTCTCACCCTGGCAGGGTGGCCACAGCCTCTTCTGGTCGTCCTTCTGAGGAACTGGGAGGAAGGGTGAGGGAAAGGTGGAGAGCTGGGTGATTTCTTTGAAAAAAGAAAAGCTTTGCCTGGAAAAAGGAGAAGCTGGAGTGTCACTGGAGCCTCACCGGTGAGACCCTGCGCACTGACTATGGGTCAGGAAGTGAGTGTAGGTGCAAATCTGGAGCCCACCTGAGCACGCGTCCCCCGTTGGAGGACATGACATCTTTGCAAACCCACCTCCTCGCAGATGCCTCCTTCGTCCTAGGCTTTCGGCAAAAAACCTTGCTGTGACTCGGATTCGAACCGAGGTCGCTGCGGCCACAACGCAGAGTACTGACCACTATACGATCACAGCCAGGGAAGTCCTGCCACATGCTGGGACCACGGGGAGGAGACCTCCTGTGCTGTCCCCTTCCCTGGCATCTGGCACAGCCAGAGAACAGAACTTCGCTGTTTTATGAAAAAATGAGCTTGAGGTGCTTCTCCTTGGAGGCTTGGCATCAGGATTCTGGCAACACCAGGGGACGGAGGTGACTGCGAAGGACAGCGCTGTCGAGGGGACATCGTGACCACGGGAGCATCACAGCAAATTTGGAGTTATAATAGTTTCAGCTAAGTCTAAGTCGTACAAGAGGCGCGCAACTTAAGTAATTTTATGGCCTCCTAAGTGTGTGGAAGTGTTCAAGACCAGTCTGGGCAATCTGGTCTAGCTGAAGGTGTCTGTGCCCATGATGGGGGGGTGTGTTGGAATGAGGTGGTCTTTAAGGTTCCTTTCCAACTTAAGCCATTCTGCGATGCTCTGTTGATTCCACGATACAACAAGTTTGGGATGATTCAGTTTAAAATCCAGCAAAGGGCACAAGGACCAGTGTGGAGAGCTGAGTGGCACTGTGGGAAGGACCTGAGCTGGGAGGTCCAAGTAACCTGGGATGTCCCCAGGGTCCTTCATCCAAGATTTCCAGGGCCCCACTGCCACCTCCTCAGCTGACTGTGGTCCCTGCAGAGAAATCCTTCCTCCAGCTCGAGGAAGCCCAGGGAAGATGATGTGGTTGGGCTGGGCCTCCTGTCTGGGCTTAGCTTTGGGGGGGTCCTTGGTTTGGGGTTTCATACCCCAAGCTCACGTCTCCAAGACATTGAGCCTTTCAGCCTTTAGTTTTCATGAAAATCCCCCTTTTGGCTGCTGTTGTGACACTTGCAGTCCTCCCCCACCCCATTTTTGCCCTCAACCTACAGTGAGAAGGGCTTCCAGCAGCTTCCCCGTGACATCCACAGTGAGGAGAAAGTGATCAAATAATCTCATAATAACCTCCCCCTTTCGTACGGAAAGAATGCCAATGGGCTTGAAGACAAAGTCCGTGTCTTGGTTTGTAGAGATGGCCTCAAAGAATAACGTGACAGTCTCAAACACACAACGTTGCACCGTTGTAAAAGGTAATTGGGTGCACATGGGGAGGTCCTCATCCTTCAGAGGGCGAACTGTTATGTCAGCTAGAGAGCAGAAAAAGAGGAATAAAATCACCTCTGCAGCAGGACATCATAGGCTCTGAGAAGGTGTCAGCAGCTTCAGGTGGGACATTGGCTACAGAGCAATCTGTGGAATCCCATGCTAACAGCTCCTAAGAGTGTCAAAGGGGTGAACATTGTGTGGGAGGGCAGGGGAGATGGGTGCAGATCCCGTGACAAAGTCCATGGTGCTCAGTCCCATACGTGCCCACACCCAGTGTGCTCCAACCAAGAGTCATGGAGAAGCAATGGAGGAGCAACGGATTCCTTCAAGGACTGTGCAGCAACGTCCTTCTGTCCCTCTGCCCCTCACATCCATGCACCCACCTGGTGTTGCAATCACGTGGAAGACGGGGTCATGCGACCGCTCCAAACACAGACTCAGTCTCTTCCTGCCCTCAGCCATGGCACGCTGCCGCTGCACGGACCAGAAAGTCATGGTAGATCTGGCCATCCACCCATCCTTTCGCAAACTCTTGTCCTTGCCTTTGGTGCTGGTGTGTCCACAAGAGACTTGGGCTCACTCTGCTCTAGAAGAAGCCTGTAAGAACCAGCAGGAACTCTGGCCTTTGCTTTTATGAGTAAAAGGGCAGCACCATAAAGGCAGAGCATGAGCTTTATCTCAGTTACACCGGAAGAAGCGGCTCCAATAAATCAGAGTCAGAAAGCAATAGTCCTACCATTGCATAACCACAAATGATATGGAGCCAAGCATGAAAGCAATTAAAGAGAGATCCTCAAGTTGAAGGCATATCGCCAAAAAAGGACAACTAACAGGTCATTCTGAGAAATCGGTCCTTGCTGCTCTGCTCGGCTTGAACAAGCTGAGGTTGTTCTCAGAACACCTTTAGGTATTCAGCCACGTCTTGGCAGTGGTTAAAGTCCACCTCAAGGGTGGTGCAAGGGCAGGCAAAGGTTTTAATCCACCTTCTCACCAGGAACATCTTCTTCAGGGTACGTGAGGCTGCAATCATCTGCAATCACCTTGGACACACGAAACATGGGTCTCTGAACGATCAAAACCTCGCTGTTCACGGTGCACATGTAGTCATAACCACACTGAATGTCCTGATTCCTGCCAACTGGACACCCTGAGAACAGTGGAAGTAAAAAGAAGATGCAGTTGTAAGTGTCCAACAACCTGCCAGAGCCTTGTGCGCCACCCATCCTGAGCCTACTATGGTTGACATGAGACACTGAGGAAGCTTTGGAGAGGAAGTACATACTTTAGGTCCATTTTGCTCTTTCTCCTCTACTCTGCTCAAGGAAGCTGTCAGGAAAAGTGACATCAAAGCTAATACCCCTCCCTGAGATTCAATGGGACGAGTTTCCAATGGGCACAAACCCTTAAAGAGGTACCAGGGTGTGATCTTCCCCGTCTGGCAGTGGAGAAAAGAGAACACCCAGGAAGTGCACAACACTTCCTTCTACTTCATCTAGACTTTCATTTTTACCTCAGGTGCCAGAGAAGATGGTCTGTGCCACATTTGCTGAGAGCAGCATCCTGCCAGGTGACTCTGCTTTCAGAGTGGGGAAGTGGTGGCACTTGGTGGCACAGCAATGTCCTCCCAAGGCAAGCTCTCAGAGCTTCACAAGGCGAGGAAGAGGATGAAAGACTCACCTTAACCCACTCCAAGAGCTGTTTGATGTATTCAGACACGCTATCTCAAATCTTAAGGACCTCTGGCAAGCAAGCAAGTGTGTCATGCCCCACATCAGCAAGCTCACAGCCCCTCAGCACACTCTTCCCCGAGGAGGTGATGAGTGGCATTAAAGGTGTCGCCACCCCAATTAAAAACGTGCAAGGTGCTCCACACGAGCAGGGGAAGGTCCTCTGGAAGTCCTGGCTGCCAAACTGATCCCTAAGCCAGGAAGGAATGATCAGACAGGGCTCACCCATCAGCTCCGTCCAGTCCTCCCCCAAAAGACACCATGTTTGGTACCAAATATTGTCTGTAACATTCAGAGAATAATTTCTGCAAGCCTCACCAGCAACAGTAAGATTCTTGAGCGTTGGAAACACATCTGGGCTCAGGATTTTCATCTTTGTCCCCATGTCCCTTTGGGTTAACTCTGGTAGCAGGAGAGCGAGGAGACGACTCCTCCATGATGGGTCTCCAGCTCCGTTCAGACATGGAATGTCAAACTGTAATCCCAGATCGTGTCACAGAGACCCCCCAAATCCTGCCAGCTTTTGCCCTGCAAGAGGGAGGGGAGGTGTGATGGGTCTTGTGGAGGTGCTATCCCCACCTCGCTGCCCATTCCTCAAGAGTGAAGGCAAGAGAGAGCATTGAGAACCGTGGTGGAGGATACAGATAAGGCACAGAGATGAACTCCCATGGCACTATCTAGTCTTGGGATACTGGAATACTCAGGAAACCTCTTTATAGGTTTTTCCTTCATGTGATGGAGTATACATGGTAGAGGAGCCAAGGAGGAACAGTGCTCTGATGGCCCTCATAAAAAAAGGTAGAATTCACCGGGAGGGTTGACTGATGCACCAGGAGGTTGTGCTGTAGTTCTGAGAGAGAGCTGTGGAATGAGCCCCTCTATGTCCAGGTGAAAAACCAGACCAGGATGACGGCCAGGCCCTCAGACAGAGGAGATCAGACCAGCTTAGCTCAGTTATATTGAGAAATCATCCTGAGAAGCTGTCACAAAGCACTAGCGAAGACTCTTGCAATTATAGTTAAAAGACGACCAAGAGGACAGGTCATTGCTACTTAGTGTTTACAGACACGAGTTTATTAAGACATAGGCACAGCTTGGTGCAGCACCAAAAAGATCCTGGGCTGACATCTCACCAGGGTACGACCTTCCCCTCCCAGTTCAAGAAGGTCCCAGTCTCCTTCTCGGAGATGGAGGAGAGCACCTTCATCATCCCTTGCACGCTGGCGTCCACCGTCAAGGGAGGCTGTGGGGGGCAGAAGGAGAAACACAGTCGTGCCAAAGGCTTGGCTAGGGGCTGCCCTGGAGAACGTCATTACTCAGGGCTTGGGCATCTCTAGAGTGAAGAGAGATGAACACAGGGCAAGAAGAGCTCCCCATCTCTCATGTCCATCCCTCATGTGCCTTCAAGCTCAGGGTATCTGATAGGGAGCTCCCCCAGAGACTCAGCAAGCACTATATTCCCAAATAAATAGGTTCTTCCAGACCCTGGACAAAAGTTCTCTTACCTTGATTGATCCTCCACCACCCATGTCGGTTTGCACCCAGCCAGGGTGGAGAGCAATGCAGAGGACGCCGTGCTCGCGGTACGCCAGGGACTGGCACTTGCTCAGCATGTTCAGAGCAGCCTGTGGGGAGATGGGGCGGGATGGCGGTGGCAGGGCAGGGGTGGCTGCAAGGGGACGCCTCCAGACCCCGCTGCAGGGACAGGGCGAGAGAAGCAAACCTGTCCCCAGCACTGCACGGCAGTACCTTGCTGCAGCGGTACGACACGACTTGTCCGTAATTCCATATATAGAGTTCCTCAATGGAGCCTGCAGAGCTGGACATGTTGATGATGGCTGCCTTGCTGCAGCTCAGCGCTGAGCCTGGGCTCCCCTGGGCAGCCTTCTGCAGCAAGGGCAGGAACGCCTGCGAGGAGACAAGAAGAGAGGAAAGGAAATAAGGGCAGACATGGATGTGGCAGAGGAGTGAAGACCAGCTCCATCCAAAATGGGCAACATTGGCACCAGCACTGGAGCAACCTCCCTTCTCTTCCCAATGCCCCAGTCCAACAGGCTCCAGCTCCTGAGGTCCAGCCCGGGGCTCCGTGAGATTCTCACTGAGTGAGAGCCCATCGGGCACTGGAGCGGAGCCAGGACCATATCAACTTCATGCTCCTCCCTGGAACAGCCCGGGTTGTGCACTCATGACCACGGGAAGGGACACTCCCCAGAGCTGGGCTGTGGTGCTGGGGGTGAGGGTCTTACCTGGCCCATCAGCATGGCCCCAACTGTGTTGGTGGTGTAAATCTGGACCATGCTCTCTAATGTCTCCTTATCGAGTGTGTTTGGCTGGGCAGCTCCAGCGTTGTTGATGAGGAGGTTGAGCCC